TTCGACGGTAATCTGTACCAAGATCTCTTCATAATGCCGTTTTTTCCCATTTAAATCGAACCAACGATAGCTGAGATACACGCTAAGGTCCTTTTGTCCTGTCATTGCGCATGATTTTTCTCTTGTATGTTAATCTATACGCCGATCTCTACGTAATGCCGTTTTTCCCGTTTGAATCGGACCAATAGCAGTGAAGATATACGCTAAGGCCCTTTTGGCTTTATCACTACGCAAAAATTCTATTCGACGAAATCCTGGGGCCACGGGCAGCTGTCTAACGACCGTTTTTGGCAAAATGGTGCGGTTTGGTTAGATGTCTTTTCGCAAAATGATGAAAATGGCCTCGTTTACGTGAACGCCATATCTCGTAGGTTATTTGTCTTTTCGCAAAATGATGAAAATGGCCTCGTTTACGTGAACGCCATATCTCGTAGGTTATTTGTCTTTTCGCAAAATGATGAAAATGACCTCGTTTACGTGAACGCCATATCTCGTAGGTTACCTCTCACTCTTACACGTTGAATTCCCTATGTGAGGCCATGGTCACTTTGTCTATCTACTGATATCTATTTTATATCCATGAGATGTAATTTGTAGACATGCAAATGTCCATAAATAATAGTAATTATATAGCAAATTATTAAAAAAATTACGCCATTGCGCTCGCCATTGTGGCTAATAGTACCGTTCAGATATTTAAAATTAATTTTTTTTAAGGTGTGTTCAATATCTCATGGACATTCACTAAATAATCAAAGTCTAGGCGCGAACGCAAACCATCGTGGATATCCACTAGATGTAATTTTTGATTTTGCTTACTAAGTATAGATGGCGATACCACTTTCGCATCTACTCATGCTCAACCCGCCGTAATTGAGTTCGATCGAAATTTGTTTGCCAATCAGACTCCATTAGAGACTGGAGTCGAGAATTTCCACTTATTGCTGAAGAGTCCTAATAAGGATGGCTTTCTCCTTAGTTGGGAAAATCAAAGGCAGAGGTGTTGAAAATATTTTTTATCTCTGCTATTTTCTTTCGACGTTATTCAATAATCATTGGTTACTTTTATGAACCTCTACTAAAGATACCCATAAAATATTTTGCTGAATATCCGAATTCTTCTATATCCTGGGATATAGACGGACATTTGGTTGGATATCCATATTGGATATCCACAAAATATATTTTGTGGAAATCTCTGCCTCTGGGATTTCTTGTATTATCTGGAAGATACCCATTAGATATTTTGCTGGATACTCCATAGGATATCTTCTATATTCTGGATATAGACGGACATTTGAATATCCATATTAGATCAACGGAATATTTCTGATATCCTGTGGATATATTGGATATCCACAAAAGATATTCTGTGGATATCTCTGGGATTTGGTGTGTTGTCTGGGTAGAGGGCTAACAATATCATTTTAAAATTGCGAAAAAAATTACAACCAGTTTTTATAATGAAACGCAGCTTTTAAATGCTATAGCAAATTAAAATGTATAGAAGATAAGTGATACTCTCGTTTTTTTTTGTTGCTTATGGCAACTGACTTACTATTAATAATTATAATAATTCCTTTTTTTCTAAACTTGAGTCACTAACTATAGAATTATTTAAAATAAATGAGGTACTCATACTTGATACTCGATTTGTTCACGAGTAATCTCTAAAATTTGCAAAAGTATTAATTTGCTTCCAGTATTATTTATATAAGAACTCATACTCTGATACTTATGAGTACTTTGTAAAGCTACTCATTATGTACTTTAACACATTACTCTGCCCAGCTCTTGGTATAACTCAAATGAGAAGTTTCGATTCTAAAAAATAAGACCATGTAGGTACAGTCTCCTCGTAGAGTTTGTTGTCAAAAATTAGTTCTTCGCCATCATTCTAGTATATTCCAGATCAAATAATAATTCAATCAAAAAAATTCATTTGACAACACGCTGAGTGCATTAATTCACAGACCTTTTATATATTGCATTAATTTATGTAATTATCCATATAACAGATATCAAAAGTTGTATTCAATAGATAATATCACAAATTAATAAAATATGACAGTTTAATAATTTACAATTACAGTAGGTACAAAAGCAATGACAAAACATGATTTCCTACTAGATTTTACAGCATTAATGTATTAAGTATGATTATCAGTTATGATTATCGATTATTAATCTGTTAAAAGTATTGGTAATTATTATTACATTATGAGTGATATTATCACATACAAGGTGACCCAGGTGGACTGAAAGGGGGAAAAACTTTTTTATTTTCATCTTTTTGAAAAAAAATGTTATTCTTCATAAAGTTTTTGCTTGTTTCAAAACTAGTAATAAACCAAACAAGTTGAATATATCTTTAGTGGATAGGTTGTTAGACCAGTGCAATGGCCAGCTTATTCACTAAATTTAAATCCTCTAAATTTTTTATTGTTACTTAAAACGAGTTGTTTAGTCATAATTTGGAGGACATAAATTTTAAAAGAAAAAAATAAGGGAGGGAATAATTAATTCTGTTTCTCAAGATAGGTACCCTAAGAAATTTTTACAAAGAACTTTTATGAAGAGCTGAAAAATGTGTTGTACTATGATTTTCATGTTAAATAATATTAAATAAAACAAAACCTTCCTATTTTTTTGTATTATTTCATGTTGAAAAATATAAAAAAACGGTATTTCACTAAAGCAAAGAGATATTCAACTTGTTTAAACTATTAGGTATTATTTTTGAAATGAGCAAAAACTTTTATGAATAATAAGTTGAACATAAAAAAATTATCTTTCTCAATTCTGAGGACACCCAGTATATTTTAAATGTGATATTGGGACTATTGATAATCAAGAATCAAGTAAACTAATGCATGAGTTCATTAATTTATGTGATTATCGATAGTCCTGATATCACTTGTAATATATGATACCTATATCCAGCATGTTGTTAAATAAATTTCACTCCTACTTCGGACTCATGAACTAAATTTTTGACAACACATTTACATGCATGTACAGCTCAACACTTGTGGAATTTTAACATGCAACAAGAAGCAAGTGATAGGGAGACATCAAAACTGCAAACATAATATATTTGCAACTTTACTAGATTGTGCGTGCATGCATATACTTTATATACTTACAGAGAATTCAGTCAACAGCTTTGGAAACCCAAATAAATGTTTTTTTATTAATATTTTCTAGTAAACTTATTGGTGTTTTAGCTAATAAAATGTTGATTTATTTTCTAATCATATTCAACAAATTTAGGACATTGAAATTTCTAACAACTCACAGAAAAACAAGTGCTGAGGGACTTACATTTAATTAAAACATTTTTGTGATAAAATCCCATTAATAGAAAAACAATTAGTAAACACATCAAAAAAAAATCCAAACAATAATAAAAGATGTCTAATAACAATCATCATAATGGAATGACAATATTAAAAAATAACAAACATTTTTTAACTGCAAATAAACTTCTAAGATACTTTGATTTTTCCCTCAAGTTCCTCAGAAGGTAGGAGCTCATTTTCTTTGTCTTCATCTTTGTTTTTATTTATCCATTTGCAATCGCAGCTGAAGGTACAATTTTCGTTTTCGCCATTCTGTTTGATGGTGGATTTTTCCCAGGGATTCCAAAATTTTAGTATAATTGGTTGTATGTAACGGTGGAATATGAACAAAAGCAAAGGGATCACAAAACAAGGAACACATCCAGCCATTTTATATCAATTGCCTTAGTCGATTTACTATTAATTTTAATTTTATTAATGAGACAAATTACCTCAAAAGGTACAGTGGTAATGTTTACAAATTACAAATTATTCTGATTTTTGACATTTATCTGACAAAATGTGACAAATCTTCTTTTTTTGCAATCTTGTGGCCATCTGTTATAGTAGAATCTACATCAAGATATTGATGCTATACCGTTCTGATTAAAAAAGAGCGTATTTTTTACTAATTACATAGTTTGTAATTATTTTTCATAATTGTACAGTACTGATTAACTAATTTTGGCCTAAAATCGGAAGTCTTTTACTATATAGTACACACAACCACCTATCCAACAGCCAGCTGAAATTTGTCATCTGTCACCAGGGTATGCGCACTTGGATATACACATTCCATTCACATTCCACTGTTAGTACTATGCGCCAATCTCACAGAGGGCGTTACTATAATTCTTCGTTTTTCCTGTAACGTCAGTTGTTTTGACATAATAAAATTTGTTATTTATCGTTTGTCCTTTGTGGGTGACTAGATTTTATTTTTTGCGAATTATATGATTGGAAAAGTGAAAAGTACATTTATTTTATTAGTTTTTAATCTGTTTTTCGTGTGCTTCTTGGTTTTTTTATGTGTTTTTTTGGGTTTTTGCTAGTGTTAGAACTTGTATTCGTGCTTTGTTAATATTTAAGACATTTATTATTTGTTTTTAAATCTGCCTTAACTTTTCAAGTAGATATGTAAATAAAATTCCACACTTAGCATTCATTATAATTGTAACTTTGAATTACAAATACTATTAAAATAAACAAGATAACACAAAAATGGTATTATAATTAAATAAATTATAAAATTTGGCTTTAATTATTTAGGGCCGATTCCACCGTTGTGTTAACAAAGTTTAAATTACAAACGAGGATTAAAATTACATTTTTTTTACATTACTTTAGTCATTTTAATCTTCGTTCAGTAATTTAAGCTTAGTTTAACACAACAGTGGAATCGGCCCTTTTGTAAACAAATGAAAATGACGTAACCTCAATGTTTGTTTTCTTGACTGAGGACTTTGGTTAATTCTGCTTCTACACGAAACGTGCGTATTTAAATAAGGCTTGCAGCCAATGATCGTTTTCTAATATTTATGGTCTTTTACAATGTAAGACGTCTAGCTACATTATGCGTCCCCAAACCATCAGATGGCGCTCAATTCATAGTCTGATGATTTAACATTGAGTTGCCGTTCTATTCTTCCCTTACCTATGTCTGTCACTACCGTCGGTGTCAAATATTGTGATTGTAAATAATCATAAAAGTTATATTTATTCTGAAATTTATTTACTCGTGCTTGTTTGAACAATTGTAGTAAAAAAATTTCCTTATTTTGTGATATTATTCTAACTAAATTTCAAAATGTCTTATATGTTAGCGCATTTACACAACGGCTGGCAAGTCGACCAAGCTATCCTATCTGAAGAAGATAGAGTTGTAGTAATACGATTTGGTCACGATTGGGATCCTTCTTGCATGAAAATGGACGAGGTTCTCTACAGCATCGCAGAAAAAGTAAAAAATTTTGCAGTGATATACTTAGTTGATATAACTGAAGTGCCAGACTTTAACAAAATGTATGAATTGTATGATCCTTGCACAGTGATGTTTTTCTTCAGAAACAAGCATATTATGATAGATTTAGGTACTGGTAATAATAACAAAATCAACTGGCCACTAGAAGATAAGCAAGAAATGATCGACATTGTTGAAACTGTTTATAGAGGTGCTAGAAAAGGTAGAGGTTTAGTGGTATCACCTAAAGACTATTCCACAAAGTACAGATACTAATTTCCTTTAAAAATATCTTTATTTAAGAACTTTGTTATTTCTTTTTTTTATATATATAGGACAATACATTTTTTATGTAAAAGTAATGATTCTCATTTCCTTTTTTCCTATTATCCTTCATTTCTTTCCATACTAACAAGGGACTTAATATATTAATTTATAAAAATATAAATATTTACATTTAAAATTATCAATATCACAAATAAATGTTCTACATAATCGTATTAGAAATATTCTTTTTATAACACTGCAAACTACACAGAGGCACACCTGTCCTAGAACAAGAGTATTTTTTTATATTACCACATCCCATATTACAATAAACAATGTTCTGTGGCTTTACAGCTTGTTGTGACTTCAAAGGATAATCATAACCCTCTGGAAATGCCATAATTGTAATATCAAAATTTTGTTTATATAAAATACAAGGGGCTGATGTTCTAACAGTTTTTGGTTTTAATTGTTTCCCAGACTTTGAATCTTGTTTTTTTAATAATCTTTCCATAGTTTTCTTCTTATCTTTTTCACGTTTTTCATCAGCCATTTGCTTCCTTTTTAAAGATTTAATTGCAGCCTTTTGAATAGCTTCAGCAGTCATAACTTTTTCCTAAAAAAATTGTTTTTAATAAAGCTTGAAGGTTACTAGCTGTATATACTTATAATACCTTATATCCTGTGGGCAAGGACATTAAAGTTGGAGTAGACATAGATGATGTACCCTCCCCTGTCCTATCATACATGGCTCTTTGTCTTGCAGTCATTAGAGCTGGATCTTTTGGTTTAATTTTCTTCAACTCATCATCTACATCTTCCAATTTCCCAGATTCAATAGCAGTTAACCATCTTTCTTCATCACTTGAAGCACTGTCGCGCTTTTTACGTTTTTTATTTACTGTGGGAGTGACAGGTATAGGGGAAACTTTCGTTGGTATAGGTGGAATTTTAGATTTTATTACAGGTGGCATTTCATCGACGATAACTAAGTCATTCGAAGATGAACCATCTTCTGAAAGTATCGGTTTTGATCTTTTATGTTTTGACTTCTTGCTAAGTCGTTTTGGAGAAGCAACCTCTTGATCTAAAACAAGTCATTTATTAGGGTTTATTAAAAATGTATTTTACTGTAATATTTACCCATAATTTGTATATTTCTCGGTCAAGTCCTATTCCTAAACGATGTATTCTTTGCCTATAATATTAAATACTATCCACTATCAGCCATAGATAAATTAATAAACTAATAGTTTATTAATTTATATTGTTTAAAACTATTTTTATTCTATAATATAACCTAAAAAAACCTTCGATTCTTCTTCACTATTGTTTTATATGTGGCCTCTGACTATATGATATATTAGTGTAAAAACTCCCGACCAATGTTATATAGAACATATAGATTGTTCACTCATATGTAAATAAAACTACAAATAAAGGGTCGCAAGCACGCTGCTATTGGCCTATCCAAGTGCTTACTCAGCAGAACCGGTCTGGCCCAAATGTGTTTTAAAATAAAATTTAAGTATTTATAGAAAAAAAGACTAATTTTTACTTCAAGACAAGATGTTATTATGTTATTCCATAGCCTTTTTTTAGATAAAGACGGCCATGGTTACAAATTTTGAAAACATATTTTTTTGTTGTTGTAATGTTGAGTTTGAATATAGTTAAATAATATTAAAAGATCTAAACAATTTTTATAACAGATAGATGTAAACGATTTTAAACCACTCTTATTTCAGAAATAACACTATATGAAACACATAATTGCAATATGTAATACAACTTTGAAAAGGTATTTAAACATATATTTGATATTAAATGCAAACAACTTTGGTTAAGAGATGTAATCACACTATATTGTAGATTTATATTTTATTCTGAGTAATGTTTAATGTTATTGTTACTAAAATTTTCTAGATTTTTTAGTTTTTTTGCAATCTCTTTTGACAATAATTGCATGTCTTATTCTGATTTATTTCAGCAATGAATGAGAATTGGTTGGTTAATTAAAAATAAAATAAATGTGCAAGCGGATTGAAACAGAATAATCTCCCTTTTATGGAAATCCGCCTATATGAAAATTGAATATATAAGGATAAATTAAGAAAAAAAACGGACTTTTCAAAATGTTTTAATATCCCGGTGTATAAATTTCAATTTTACCCAGTGGATATATTGAGTATAATTTAATGTTTCTTTTTAAAGGAAAAGTTAATAAATACAGTTTTTTATCATTATTATGTATGTAGGTTATTACGGTTAGATCAGTCTTTGGTCTTATTTAAAAAAAACTGTTTTAATTACCAAAATGTTTCCATGATTTATTTTATTATAATCATCATTGAAATGATCAGCAATTCAAACATTGTTTTCCTCAAACAATAAATGTATTTTCGAATATTAAAAATAGCCACTATTTAACTGTCTAAAGTGACTTTGCGATGTTAAAAGTCCTGTAACTGTTATTGATGGCAAAATGACGTTAGCCCGACCATCGACCGTAGTGACCTATATATGCCGGTTCTTATTGTAAGTAAAAGTAAAAATGCCGAACAGTATTGGCTCATTAACCAACCTGACCAAAATGTTTGTTGGTTGCAGTTGTTAGTTACAGTAAAATAAAATAAGTGTCATTTTTCGCAATGCACAAAAAGTTGCGGCATAAAATATCAAAATTAAATTTTTAATTATTCTGGACCCAATCGCGTAATAAATCTTAAACGTTATTGTTTTAACAAATTTCATTAGAATATTTGAACAAAATAGGATGGTTTTATAAAAGAATTGTCATTTTAAACTTCGTTTAATACAACGGTGGAATCGGTACTTAATCTACTTCGAAAGCAATATTCGTTATTATGGGCCAGTATTTTCGTTTAAATTACTTAGGACCGATTCCACCGTTGTGTTAAACGAAGTTTAAAATTACATTTTAACAATGTCATTTTAATCTCCGTTTAACACAATGGTGGAATCGACCCTTAAAGAAGATTAAAATGACATTTGCCGCGTTTGAGAATTCACATCTGCCGCGTTTGAGAATCCACATCGAATGCATCTGAGATGTAAAAAATCTTTGATCACGTGATTCAGTATACGTAAATGTAATGGGATAGATGTGTCCGATGTGGATTAAAAAACGCTCGAGATGTAAAAAATGCATCTGATGTGGATTCTAAAACGCGGCAATCGGATGCATCATAAATATTTGATCACGTGATTCAGTATACGAAAATGTAATGGGACATATGTGTCCGACGTGGATAAAAAAAGATTCTAATTTCTAAAACTAGTTCTGTAAATGATTTATTTACAACTGAGTACTTAAAATGAAGAAAAAACATTACATGCATTAAATAAAGAGAAAACTTCGTCCAGTGAAAATCGGTTTTCGTAGTCTGATTTACATATGGATGAGCAATCTAGAGACTGTATAACATTGATCCCGACCTTGACTTTTCAAGAATAATCGAAATTTGTTTGGAATTATGGCAATAGGCATTCCAACGACCTGTCAAACAATAGGTGCCAGTGGGAAATTCTTGTATATCTAAAGGGGTAGCGACATAGTCTTGCAACTTGGACGCTATTTTTATTCAAAGTAGTAGTCGCCAAGCCTGCCTATTTATGAAGAAATGTATAGGTGGGTTTTTTTAAATATTATTTTTATTGTGTTTGACATAAAATATTTAAATGTAATCCATTATTCATGATTTTACGTAAAGTAGATAGAATACACCATATGTCGCCACCATAGCCCTCAGAAAGTCTAGATACCGCTTGGCGTATGCTGTCAATACAAAAAAATGACCCCATTCAAGCTTGTCGCCATGTTAGGTAAATTTATGTTTTGGCTACACTGATTTTTAGTTTCTGTGTTCTGTAATACGTGAACACCGATAATCTGCACTTTGTTATTAGTTATAAGTGAGTGAGACGCACAATTTTTAATTTCAAATTAAGAACAAAACTTTGACAAACCTATTTGATTTTCCTAGATCTGTTCAGACAGGACCGGTTTTATAAATTTTCTCGTTCTTGAAATGTTATTTTTACATGGTTATATATATTATTGGATAAGTGTTTTGTGTACATATCGCTATGAGAATTATAGAGAAATTCAGTGAGATTTATGTAATATAATTCAAATTACAAGTAAACCATCTGTTCCTGTTTGGCAATATGGAGAAAATACCTACTTCAATGTCAAATGTACTATTTAAAAGAATGTGATTGTTAACCGGTCATTTATTTATATTATGAAAATAAAAACTCGAATTTTTTAACTAGGGAAAGATATACTTACATCGGTAACGAGGTATTTTTAGAAAAACTAATAGATTACTCCTATTCCTATAGTTTATTTGAAAATGAATAATAGCAAAATTATATAAAAATATGGACCTTTGCCATAAAAACTGTGCTACCAAGAGCATTTTCAAATAAACTATAATGATAATTTGATTTAATAGAGCGAGTATAAGATCTCACCTGTTAGAGAAATTGGGGCATAGGGAAGAGATTATGAAGCAGGTAAGCAAAGTCGTTACAAAAGATAAATATATAGAAGTTATTTTAAAAATTTGATAAAAAAACTTGTGGAACAACAAATGGAGTTGTCGCTATCGGAGATCCAATCAGCAGAAAGTAAAAAAAAACTTTGGGAATGTTGGAAAAGGGCACAGCAATAGGCCCAAAACAACTCCTTGGTTTTTTAATAAATATAATCTTATGAGATGCAAAAAATACTGCTAGAGTGGAGAAGCAGTATTGTTCTAATGTGCACTAACCATAGGCGAATAGTCACTAAATTATACAAGAGTCCCATCTCGATTTTATTTTTAAATATTTTTGAGAATACCTATTATTATTTGTTACATTGAGTTTAATAAAACCACAGATTTCGAATGTATTGAAAGTTATTTAAAAAGTACCTCTATAAATATATAGAAAATGTGTATATGACTAACTGGTTTTATTAATCTTTTTTTGGGGTAGGTAAATATATTTTGAAAAATTTACAATCTTCTTTTGAATAAAAGACAAAATATTTCTGTTTTTATTAACTGAACAATATTTTATACAAACATAATATATACCTATTTAAAAGAAAATATTACATTTTACAAGAATCGCATATTTATATGAAATAACTTACTCAATAAGAAAGAATTAAATGAAACAAATTAATAAACAATGGATATGAAAAATTGCTTTAACAATTTAATCCTTAGATAAACTTATTCTTACATATTGCTTTAATCAATTTATTTACTATAAAACTATATTTCCTATCATTTATTACATGTAATAAAATAAAGCATAAAACATACAAACTATAATATGTACCTACTTAGAACGGAACTAATATTATTGTATCAAGGTAGTAATAGTGGACATTTTTCAAAAAAAAAATAAGTAAAAAAGAAGTAACGGTCGACACGTTTTTCTGACTATTGGTCTTCATCAGTACGGTGCAACCAAGTTCAAAGGATCATGGAACGTGTGTTGAAAAAATTGTACAATAGGTCACTAACAAGGAGCCAATAACACATTTGCCGTTTCAGCTAGTATCCCCAAATTTTCTGGGCTTATACTAAAGTCACAAAATGATTTAATGGTCTTCCTATGGCTATCAGTTATTCTTTCCTAAAATTTTTTGGTATGCTACAACAAAACACAAATTATTTTATTTTGAAAATATAAAAATATTTTTGAAAACTTACACATGAAATGTTATTCCTTCCTTGTATCTTCTACCGTTGGATGCATTGTTACATTCACGTACAAAACAACAAGATATTTTGAAAATCCTGTAAATATTTAACACCAAACCACAAATGTTTTTTATTAAAATAAAACACTAAACGACTAAACTAAAAAATAATGTTTTAAATAAAACCTTTACTAGAAGAACAAAATAAACAACACAACAGATAATAAAATCGATTATATACGTCGAACGCCGATCTTACGCTTATTACTAAACTTGCGCCGATTCTGTCTTGTCAGTAGTGCCAACTTAAAATTTATTGACATTTATTTATCATGGCGCCCATCATATGGGGGGTCAAAATGTTTTTACGATGCGATATCTAGACCTTCTGAGGGCTATGGTCGCCACCCTTAGATATACCAAACCTGCCCACTGGTAATTCATTTGTTTGGAATGCCTAATTCGATGTGTATTCTCGATTTTGATGACCGATGACAGTTATGACTCACGATCCCACTCCCCTCCCTAGTCTCCCTACTCTCCCACACACGCATTGTGTTTTTTTTTGTTAGACCAAATGGCGAAATGGCAAATGATTTGACAGTGTTTTTCTTTATTTGACAACGAACAATCTATCATAAAAAAAAAACAATTAAAATAATTAACACTGTGTAATGGCCGATCCACGCATTCGTACAATAAAAATTAAAACAGGTGTTGTGAGGAGGTTAGCAAAAGAAAAAATTGTGTATGAACGTGAAGCTGAGGCGCAAAAAGTACGCATTGAAAAACTAAAGGCTCAAGGAAAAGACGAATATGAACTTAGAAAGCAAGATGAAGTTCTCGCTGAGGGTTTGATGATGGTTCCAGATTGTCAAAGAAGACTAGCCGTTGCTTACGACGATTTGAAGGGAATTTTGGAATCAGAAAAAGACTTAATCGAAACCGAAGAATATAAAGCCGCTCAGAAGATTCTCGACGAAGCTAAGTATCAGCTCCCCAAGGCCGGAGAGATGCATATGTGTTAAGAAGTTACCACATTCCTTTTTTATTATATTAGTTTTATACAGACTTGCTTTTTATAATCATGAATTTTTTAAAATACCAAAATTTTTCTAACCGTAATGTTAATATTGAAGTGCCTGTTTTATCAGACCCAAGAACTAATGTTTTACAAAATATTTATAGTCAATCTAATGACGAATTATGGATTGACTCATGGCTGCAACAAAATAATGTCTACCACCCCATTCCTAAAATTAGAATCAACAGAGGTAAGTAAAACGTTATTTACAAAACAACTTAGGTTACAGTCACTTAAGTATAATTTTTATTAATAACTTAAAATTGTTGGCAACTTGATGTAAGACATACAAATAAAGGGAGCATGCATGTTGTATTCCAGAGATAATAAAATCTTATGAAATAAACAATTGTAAACTATATACCTAACCTCATTAAACCCTTAAATTATGATTATAGTACATATAGAAAGAATATTGCTACCTTCCAGAAAGACCGTCCCAACTTTAATATTACTACTTTTCAGTAAAAGCAATTGAAACTTTCTGATGTATTTTATCTTGTGAGTTTTATCGAAAAGCAGCATATCAGATGTTTTTTTTTTAATTATGTTGTTTTATATTACAAATATTAAGATGATAATCTTAGATATTGCAAATTTTATTGAGGTAATTTTTTTTCTCTAGGAACAATAGGATTCTCTCCCTTTTTTCTCAGTTTTTCCAAACGTCTTGTATAAATTTTTCCATCTATATTTCCTTCAAATTATTTATTGGTCTTCTGAAGAACATACTGACACTGAAACAATAATTCTGTATGGGACAGGCTGCAGTGTTATCAGAGACTAAGTCTAGAGCCTAGCAAATTTTGTTTTAACTTATACTTTAATATTCGAGATTTTAACATTTTTTTTTTTTCATTTAAAGTTTTACTTAAAATGTTTTTACTGTATTAGTAATGAATGCCTCAGTTCTAAAGAAGCCAACAAAAATTACAACAAATTAAAATGAGACTTTTTCTAAATTAACTCAAGTTTAAAAAACATAAGTTTACATTAACTATTGGACTAACAATGTGACAATATTACTTGAAATTTTAAAAATTATATAAATTACCTTTGTCAAGAAAATAGAAACAATTTAAATATGACAATGGTCCTTGAAACATTTTAGAAAAACTGTTTGTTTGACACTCTTAAGCGATTAACATTTTACAACTGAAATGACCCAGTCTTGCATGTTAACTGAGGGGAAATTGAGAGTGGCATCATTTTGCGACAGGAGTGCACAGCGGTTATTTTTGGTATTTGAGTTGTGATGATTTTTTTCATAATAGATTCCTAAATTCTGTGTTGAATGTCGATAAAAACATAAAAATTAAAATTTTTGACTTGTGACAGTTTTATCGGAAAATAGGGTTATATTAACTACCTCAAAAGCAATAATATGAAAGTATAATAAAACAGAATAGTTTACCAATGATGTTGATTGTTTTTGAGCAATAATCTGAATTAATCTTTCCTAGCAAAATAGTTTTGTATCTCATATTATAAACACAAAACATTCATGAAAATTTGTGTCCATAAAAAAAAGTAGAATAGACAGTTATTACATGCTGAACACAGAAATATCTTATTGGCTGACTGTAAGGTCTTAAGTTGTTAAGTTAAAAGTTCTTATGGTATTGCGGTTATAAATTAAGCTTTAACCCTGCAATATCATGTTTTAAAGTATATAGGATGTGTCGTAAGATGTATAACCAACCTACATAGTCATAATATATGTTATTTAGCTTCTCTTTTTGAAATACCTAACTATTTGCAGGAATTTTGTGCATTTTATTAAATCGACCTAATAATTCATCAGTTTCTACTTTATTTAAAATTAAAGGGGTGTATGGCAGAAGGGGTTATCTAATAGTTTGTCAAAAATTGCCTTTTATATCAAAATGAAGGTGTTAAGTATGTCGAACCTAGTTTATATTTAAAATTTTTTAATATCTTTAATATAAAAAATTCAATTAAAAATTTAAAATTTCACTAAATAAACCTTAATTTTAAATTGTTTTAACAATTAATTAAAATTAAATTATATAATTTGTATAACTGCAACTGCTGGCACAAATTTTGTTTATATTTTCTCTTATTTCTAAATCTCAATATCTTGAATATTTAAATTTAATTACTGCAATTTTATTATTTAATAAAAATTAACATATAATAAAAAATAATACTTAATAATTAAACCAAATAAATTTTTTAACATAAATAAAAATTGATTTTTTTTTAAAATTTATAAATATTCATAAAATTTAACCAAAAATTAACCATTTATAAATTAAATACATTGAAAACCCCCCAATTCCGATACATTTAAATAATAAATCAATAATTAAATATTACTATTCACAAAATTTAACCATTCATTACTTAAATACATTGAAATCCAAGCTCCAATGTATTTAAGTAACAAACCAATAAGCAAATATTACCACCAATAAAATGTAACCATTCATTACTTAAATACATTGAAACCAACAATAATTATAATGCATTTAAATAACAAATCAATAAGTAAATATTACCCCTCATAAAATTTAATCATTCATTACTTAAATACATTGAAACCCCTAATTCCGATATATTTAACAAATCAATAGGTAAATATTACCACTTATAAAATTTAACCATTCATGATTCCAAAAAAAATCTTAGTAGGTAGTCTCTCTCTCTCTCTCTCTCTCTCTCTCTATATTTACGAAAATATTTGATTATTTCTGAATAATTTGTTTACAGAAAAAGGTGTTATCTGCCTTTTAATGTTAAAAAATACAGACTTTTAAAATTTACAAAAAATGCAATCTACAAATCTTAATAGAGGAAAAAAAAACTACAATTATTATGCATTTAAATATTTAATGATATGCAATATTTAAAACTTTGTGGACTGTTTTCTCAGAATACTAATTTTGTTAGATAATCCCTTCTGCCATTCACCCCTTCAGTTAAGACTAAATAAGTAAAATTAAATACAAAGATGATGCAGGTCCAATTTTAACTTGACCAAAATGTTTAAATTATTTATAATTTCCTAGCCTTATTTTTGTTCTACTGATTTTAATCTCAAAAATATATTTTATGAATATTCCACTGTTTTAAGCATCCAGTGTCATATCTATTTGTGAAGCCCAATCTTCTCTTAAAGAATGCCTAATATTATTAGAAAAACTAACCAAGACCCATCAAGAATTAGAAAGTAATGTCGATAGATTATCTTCTAATGAATGGAAGCAAAAAACCATAGAAATTGGTCACATCAAAGACCAGTTTACAAGGCTGGTGTCAAAATTTGAAAGTGGTGATTCAATTTTTACCTTAAAGAAAGCCATCGATAAGAGAAAGAAGAAGAGACTAAGTCAGAAAAAGAAAAAGGAATTTAGAAAGCAAAAGATCGAAGAAAAGTTCCAAATCAGGGAAAAATTGCATAAAAGTATAGACCAGTGGTTGGCTAAAAAAAAGGAAGATGATGAAAAACTCAAAATGGTAAGATATGCAAATAGGATATCATTACCTTAACATGAAAACCTTCTAACTCCACTTTTTATAGAAAATAATATTAGTGTGCCTTCTATTAATAAAATCCTAAATACGTAAGTTCCTGTAATTACAAACTTCTACTTTGTTGGCAGGTCTGTTAAATTTTATATGTAAAACTTATAACTCCACAGAGGCCCCAAACAAACATAAAAACGAGTACTCCACAATCAGTTTTCTTAAAAAAAAAAATTTCTCTTACAGTAAATTACCTAATGCAAAACAAAATCTATGTATTGCAAAGACAAAATAGTTAAGTACCATTTTCTCTTCTGTTTGTGAACCGATTTTATTTTTTTTTAATTTTGTTTAGTAACTATTGACGAGCTTAAAAAATAAAATAGTATTTTTTCCTCAACCTTTCATAAATGAAATCCAATGATTCACAATTATGAATTATGATTGACTTATAAAATTAGCCTATAGTGAACATGAGTACTCATTAATTTCGAACCGACATGGACAATATTATATGGGGGTAGCACAAAATTGATCGAAAAACACTTGATCTAATTGGAAATTTGACCGAAAATACATTTTGTCGAATGGCATTTGATCGAAAATATATTTTATCGAATAACATTTGATTTAAAAAAAAAAAACTAATTTACCTAACCTGTGTGGTCTGGAGCCGTTGAGGATTGCTTCGCAAAGAAATATACAAAAAATAAGAAACATCAAAATACTTAACTAATTTACCTAACCTGTTAGGAGCCATTTAAATTTAACTGATTGCTTTTGCACAGGTTAGGTAAATTAGTTAGTTTTTTAATTTGTTTCATTTCTTGTATATTTTTTGCAAAGCAATCAGCGATGGCTCTAGGCCGCACAGGTTAGGGAAATTAGTTTAGTTTTTTATTTTTTCTAATTTTATGTATATTGGGTTTTTCGATCAATTGCTTTTTCTATCAAATCTATTTTTGATCAATTTTCATTTCGATCATTTTTCTTTTCTATCAAATGTTATTCGATCAAATACATTTGGTCAAATGTTTTCGATCAATTTTGTGCCACCCATTATATGGATGGATAAAAATAAAAAAAAATACTTCCCCTCTCTTCCTTTGCCACTCCTAAATGGAAAAGGATAGACAAAAAAACTAAAAGCGGGGCCTGCCTGAAACTATTTCAAACCTCCCAACTATAATTGAAGTAATTTTGCTTGAAGACTTTTTTTTTAGAATTTTTTTTATAAAATTGTCGCGGGGCCCGACCTGGAGAATTGTTCCGGGGCCTGACCTGGCTCTCAGCGGCCCTGGTTTAGCTACTACGAGAGCTATTATCTCAAAAGTACAAAGACTAGCCTGTGTTTGCATTACTGGTGCAATGAGAACCTGTCCTACAGGCGCAATGGAGGTGATCTTAAACCTCACCCCTCTACATTTGATGATAGAGAATGTGGCAAAAAGGACAAGATATAAAATGATCAGGAATGGAGTAATCAGACGAATATCTACTTGCTTCAGGACTAAAGATACCTGAGACATGACCCAGGATGAAATGCTAAAGAAGTACAGTTTTGTGAAAAACTACAAAACCACAGAGCTGGACTGCAAGAAAAAATGGAGCCAAGAATCCATCGCGCTTGCAACCGAAAGACGTGTTATTCAGTGGTATACGGACGGTTCCAAAACCATAGATGGATCTGGAATAGGAGTATATGGGCCGAGAACCAAGCACTTCGAAAGTTAGTGGAAATACCCAAGCATCTTCCAGAGAAACTATCATAGACAAGAGATTATCATCATGTCCGACAGTCAAGCACCAATCAAAGCGCTGAGATCTTACGTAATCAGCTCAAAAATGGTCTGGAGGTGCCTAATTGGATGAGCTAGGCGAGAAAAATAGTGTTACTCTCACTTGGGTCTCGGGACATAACGGGGTACAGGGTAACGAGATTTTAGATAGTCTTGCAAGGAAAGGGGCTCAAACACCCTTTGTAGGACCTGAGCCGTTCTGCGGTATCAGCAGTAACATAATATTAGGAGAGATTAAAAAAGAATTGGGCATTAGAAGAACCGATAATTGGAACAATCTCTTGGGGCTGAGACAGGACAAGATACTTCTGGGCGAATATAACCAGAAAAGATCGGAAGCCTGCATCTGCCTGAGCAAGAACAGGCTACGTATTGTAACAGGGATCCTAACCGGGCATTGCCGACTAATAGGACACCTAAGTAAACTGAGAGTAGTAGAGGATAGTGAGTGAAGATTCTGTGAGGAGGAGGATGAAACCTTCATTCACATCCTAACTGAATGTGTAGCACTCCAGAATCCAAGGGCACTATATCTAGGAGGATATCAAATAGAAGAGGGAGATTTACCTAACTTGAAGCCTTTTCAAATTCTACACTTCCTTGAGAAAATAGAATTGGAAGGGTCGTTATAGGCATTGAGATATTTCCTTAGTGCATTGGCGACAGAAAGGCGCACAATAGATAGTTTAGGTCGCAGTGTATTAACACCCCATTCCCAACATAACATTATACAAATAATGTACAATTGTTACATGAAGATGGTTAAAAATTATACCAAAATTAAGAATAGGTACTTGTTTGTTGACTTGTTGAAAATGTTTTATTAATCGGGCATTGAAATTTGTTTTTTTTTTTTGATGCTACAATAATATCTTTGTATATTTAGTAGGTATTTGTTTAAAATTAATGTTTTTTTTTTAATTTAAACCTCCCGCTTTTCATTTCTGAAAATCTGACAGCCCTACATGTAGGTTATTCAGGATTTTTTATCATTGATACTATAGGTTTATTGTAACTAAAATAAGAAACATAAGTTTGAGAGTTGATATCCTCTAAATATCTGGAAAATACCGCGTCAATGGTGGTCCCATATTTTGTTGTGGATTCTTGTTGATGATTATTCATTTTCAAATTCAATTTTTCCGAAATTGTGTCTAAAAGAGATAGAATCAGTTATGAGCAGTTAGCAGCTAGTATACACGCATACATCTAGTCGCACGCACACAAACACCGTGCCGAAGTCTTCCGAACTGAAACGTCGTTAGACGATGCACGGCTTTCAACGCCGCACCGCTGTTTATTTTCGTTACGGAATTACGAAATTTCTTGATTCGGCCGCCACGCTCAAAGCCCGCGATAAAAGCTATGCAATAGCTTAAAAACATTTATAATTGAATGTTTTTCAAAATTCATTGCTGATAATTAAGAGCTTCCTTTAAAGGACCTACTGATCTAATTTTTTTCTTTTTCTACTAATATCTACATGAAACTTTTTTTGCTTCTCCTGTAAAATTATTACATATGGAGCTAGGTTTACATGTTAAGGTAACGATATGGAACATGTTTTTAATCAACAATAACACTAAAAATGGTCCAATTTAAATTTTATTTCAATATTTTAAATATGACCAAGATTTAATATTTTCAATTTTAGGAAGAAGACATGCAAAAAGATGCCGATTGTGTATTGGCTGAAGTAACAAAGAAAAAGTCAGATGCTAGAAAACAAATGGCTCTAGTTGGATCTTTAGCTAAACTAAGATTTATCAGACACCACATGGCTGTCCAAAGGGGTGAGAAACCCTCTTTAGAAGATCAAAATGCCTTTAACATAACAGTCAGTAAGTAAAAAAATGTATACATGCAATATTTTATTTATAGAAAATCTATAAATACAAATATCTTTATTTTTCAGTAAAACTAAAAAATATGTGGGAATCGTCTCTGAAAACGTATATGATAGAAGAACAAGGTCTGAAACTTATGTTGGAAAAAAATGCCACTGAAGATACTAAAACTGCCGAACTGGCAAAAGAAAGAAAATTGTTAGAAGAATGGCACACTGTTTTCTTTGGTCCTCGACAGATTATCCCACAGGACAATGCCACATATTGGGCTCTGACTGCTGCAGAAAGAGACATGGAAACCTTTATTGCAATAAGGTATGACCTTATAAAAATACAAACCTTACATTTGTGTATTTAATTATTTAGTAGTTTTATCTCTATAAACAATAAGTAATTGTTTTTTTTTTTAAGAAAAAGCTGGGATACTTTTCTCGTAAATCCCGCCAATGAAATGGGCTCTAAAATTCCAGTAGGATGGGTCCTACCATGTGCAAATACAAATGAAAGCTGGGCGAAATATTTATCTACTTCTTAAATTTTTATTAATACATTTTGTAATATTTAACTTGTTTTCCTTTTCAATCATTTAATAATAATAGTTGTAACATTTTTCAGTGTATTAATGTTAATATCCACCTCTCCATAGATTATTATGAACTAAATATAAGAGCAAATACTATTTATGAAACCAGTTGCGAACTGCCCTATTTTATGTAACGAGTGAATAAAGAGTTACCTTAAACGGCATTTTGTAACATGGTACAATATTTTTTCTAATTTTGACTAAACTTTATTGACATTTAGGCAACCAATATTTCTTTCTTGTATTGTTAGTTACATATGTATAATTTTAGTTATTTAGTTCTCAAAAAAATGGGTTATTTTGTCGTGCATTCTAATTTAATTATTTTATGCTGATTTAGAATGGAAAATAAGGATCAAAACATAACTATAGGTTGTTGGTTTAACCAAATTCTATTTTTATAAGTGAACCTGTCCTACTTTCAATAATAATGTATATTGTTGATCTGTTTTCTTTTCGCAACTGGTAATATAATGAATTTTTCGGAACCAGCTTCGTAATGTTCAACATTATGCAACTGGTTGCGTGAAGTAGATCATTTTCACACTTGCTGCGATTTCAGAAAATGTCACTTTATATGTAAAAATTAGAAAAAAAGGGAATCAAATGAGACCATGAAGGTTATAGAATTATTGTAGTTCTGGTAATTATTTATTAAGAAATAAAACTAGTAGTAGTAGTATTATTTCAAGTGTGCAGGATGGAATTATATTAATATAATCCAGTCGTTCATTTAAAATTAGTCTAGCCCTTCCGGCTTGTTAGGCCATCATGAGGACTCAAAAAAGAGTCAAAATTTCATGATATTTAACAGTTTTATTTCTTAATTATTCACCTTGAATTATTTATTAGTTTCAAAAATGTTATTTAAATAATTCATTGCAATGAGTTGAACACATCACCATCATGACCATCCAAGAAAAATATTTAAATGGTTCTGAAGAGTTGATGAAATAAATTCGTATTAAAAAATGTTTGAAAACAATAGTTTGAACTATAAAAATTTGATTGACGAAACTTCCAAAATAGAAAAGTTCAAATGAAAATACGTTTGAAATTAAAAAGGTCGAAAGTGAAAAAAGATCGAAATAAAAACAAATGATCGAAATCGGATATAATCTAATTAGCAATTGATCAAAATCAGATATGATCGAAATTACAAGTAATACCCCAGTATAGGCATCATCATACCTATACTGGGGTAGTACATTACATCCGGGCGTTCAAAGCGGTCATGTAACCTGTGAAATTCTAAGTAAAATTTGAGATCAATGTGTTTTGATTTTTTATCGTCAATGAAATATAATTATATATATGCTTTCAGATGTCCGAGAATAATAAAAAAAATGCCTTATTTATGTGCATTAGAACGAAAATAAAGCCATTTGTAAAACATACAGTGTGCGGCATCATTCTATACGCGTCTTTTCAGATTATGTCGTATCATTTTTCCTGTATAAAAGATTAATATCTATTGGAGTTATAATTCAAAAATATTACGCTTACGCGTCTGATTGGAAACCAAAAAATTAAATAATGTCGTCAAAAACTTAATAAATATGCATTTCCTTACAGCAGGATTTTTGGTTTTTGTTTAATGGTTACAATATACAATATTACTTTTTATTTATTTATTTTAGTTGCAATACAAAACGGGACGAAACCAAAAACAGTATTCACTTATAGCTAGTAAAATATAAAGTTAAACGTTTGCTGATAAAATACAGGTATGTGGTGATTCATTTAGACCTTTTTTTTATATCGTTTTTTTTTTTCACGTTCCTTGTCATGGTCTCATACTGGCATCGTAGTTTTATTTAGTATTGTTTGACAATACATGGACAGACTTACACCGCATCAGCGTCTCCAAATTGTTCAGTTGTATTATGAAAATCAGCGTTCTGTGAGAAATGTTTTTCATGTACTTCGAGCAACGTATGGAGTGCATCATCGACCTTCCGAGACCACTATTGCCAATATCATCCGCAAATTTGAGGGTCAGTATACGTTATTTGATGATACACGACCGAATAGACCACACCCAGCCCATAAGAGGAGAATATTGCGGTACCATGATAAGAGACTTTTTGTTGCCTGAACTTATAGCCCGTAATGTCGGCGACATTTGGTTTCAGAAAGACGGAGCTACGGCACACACAGCGGCGCGAAACAATAGCTTTATTGATAGATCATTTTGGTGAGCAGATATTTTGCGTTTTGGACCTGTCAACTGGTCGTCTAGATCGTGTGATATCACACCCTTGGACTTTTTTCTTTGAGGTCATGTTAAATCAAAAGTCTTCGCCGATAAGCCAGCTACGATTCAGAACTTAGAAGCCAACATTACTCGCGTAATTAGACAGATACCGGTCGCAATGCTAGAAATGGTGATCGAAAATTGGACCTTCCGAATGGACCACGAACGGCGTAGTCGCGGCCAGCATTTAAATGAAATTATTTTCAAAAAATAAATGTCAAAAAATGTTCTTTCTGGTCGTAATAAAGATTCCGCCATCCAATTCTACTGTGTTTTATGAAAAAAATGGTCTTATTGAATCACCCATTGCAAGCAAAATATATTTTAATTAATAATGCGAAATATTTTAAACAGTTAAAGGCAAAATCATTATTATTGTTATAAATGGTTTAGGTAAAAATTATCGAGTGTTTTAGAAAAGGATATTGGGGAAGAAAAAAATATATTCGATGTCAACTAGATTTGCGATTGTATTGAAAGATTTGTAGTAACGGAGAACAGGATAGTAATGAGTATTACTGTGATCAATATAAAGTAACATTTTACTCCTGGTGTTGTGAGTGGGGATACTAAAGTGAATAAATTTTACAATTTCAATAAAATGTTACAAATAAATTTGATGTCGAACATCTGCCTTCTATCTTCTAATGATATTAGCTTTTAAGTTGCGTTTTATATATGCTAAATTATCATACAATGTGGTGGGTAAAATTTGTGACCTAAATATTTTACGAATTTATCCTGTACAAGTTCAATTTTTTTGTTTTGTGAATATACACAATTTGATGGTTCCAAATAATGGATCCAAAATATAATGTACTGTTGATATGAGCTATCCATGTACAAGGCGCCGATGGTTTCTGGTTGTTTAAAATCTTACAAGTTCTAATAATGAAGTCGACAATTTTTCACGCTTTTGCCGTAATATAGTTAAAATGATGTTCAAATAATAATTTAGAGTCATAAAATATCCCGTGATCTTTGATAAGAGACTCCCAGACAGCACACCAAATCCTTTGGATATCTACTGGACATCCCAATATCCACTGAATGTCTAGTCTATGGTGGATATCTATTTTATATCCATGAGATGTAATTTATAGACATGCAAATGTCCTAAATAATAGTAATTATATAGCAAATTATTAAAAAATTACGCCATTGTGGCTAATAGTACCGTTCAGATATTTAAAATTAATTTTTTTAAGGTGTATTCAATATCCCATGGACATGCACTAAATATATCAAAGTCTAGGCACGAACGCAAACCATGGTGGATATCCACTAGATGTAATTTTTGATTTTGCTTACTAAGTATAGATGCGATACCACTTTCGCTCGTTGAATATCTACTCATGCTCAACCCGCCGTAACTGAGTTCGATCGAAATTGGTGTCGTAATCAGACTCCATTAGAGACTGGAGTCGAAAATTTCCCTTTATTGCTAAAGAGTCCTAATAAAGATGACTTTCTCCTTAGTGGGCAAAATCAAAGGCAGAGTGTTGAAAATATTTTTTATCTCTGCTATTTTCTTTCGACGTTATTCAATAATCATTGGTTACTTATGAACCTCTACTAAAGATATCCATAAAATATTTTGCTGAATATCCGAATATCTTCTATATCCTGGGATATAGACGGACATTTGGATATCCATATTAGATCCACTGGATATATTGAATATCCACAAAATATATTATGTGGATATCTCTGGGATTTCTTGTATTGTGTGGAAGATACCCATTAGATATTTTGCTGGATATCCATAGGATATCTTCTATATTCTGGATATAGACGGACATTTGGATATCCATATTAGATCCACGGGATATTTTAGATATCCTGTGGATATATTGGATCAGAATATCTCTGGGATTTGGTTTGTTGTCTGGGTCTAATTATGCAAAAAAACGTTTTGGTTCCTGGAGAAAGTGATAGCATAACATTTATTAAATTTAAGATAAAGACTATGGGTACAATAAAAAAATAGGTTATTAAGGTCATTTTGTATTAGTAAGCAGTCTGAAGGATTTGTTACACTATGAAACACATTCAGGTCATCGGAAAACATTAAAAAATTTGAAAAGGTGAATCAGTTTTTAACATCGTTAATATAAATGTTAAACAATATGGGTACCAAATGGGAACCCTGTGGAATACCTGACGAGATTTCCATGAAAGCGGAACTCTACAGGACTATATTAACAGACTGAGTTCTATTACTGAAATACCTAAGATGAGAACCATTTCACCAGGCTAATATATTGTGATCAATTTTATCAAATGCCTTACTAAAGTCGATATAAATAACATCTACTTGATAGTCCGTGTTCATATTATCAAACAAGTACTGCAAGTAAAGAAATAAATCACTATCTAATTCATAGATAGGTACACAAGTAAAATCAATGCAGAAATTTATAGGTAACTATCTAATATTTTAACCTCCGTCTCATTCCAGCAAAGACAGAGAAACCATAGTAAAAAAAAATCATCAACATTCGCTTACAATTATACGATAATGGTTTAAAATAAAATTTCACTTGATATTTTATTACACTTTTGATCTAAAATCCGAAGTAAGGTCACCCATCTTTTTAACGAATGAAAGTTTCTTTTTATTAAATAAAATATGTTCATAAATATACTGCAAATGGGTTACCTAAGAAAATACGATCATGACTTTATTTTCTTA